AGTCGTTACAAATATGGCAAATTATCATCAAGACGATGATGATCAATAGAATCAATAACTACAACTAACATTTATCGATAACAAATATTAATCTTGTGCCTGGAAGATAAACTTATGCACTAGAACTTATTGCTGTAACTGTGTATGTATGTGTGTGTGTGTGTCATTTGCTATATGTATTAACTAGTTAGTATGTTTGATTATACATGGTGAGTTAGTTAAATGGAATCCGTTTGCGCGAGGTGATACTCTGCACCAAAAACAGTTGCTCCATAACAAGTTGGCCACATCGCTCGTTCCATCTCCCGCGCTCTCTCTCTCTCTCTCTCTCACTCTCTCACTCTCTGTCTATCTCAGTCACACTCGCACTCACCCAGTCAACTGAAAACGTTGCACATACGACCCGTATGCACGCTAGTTGCTATCGTCGCAATCGCACCCCCAATCATCCATTAGAGACGCTGGCAGCTCCTACGAGGATGCAGCCAAGTGTTATGCAACTACTTAAAGGACTTTATCATTTGATTTTTTTTTTTTTTGCTAGTTTCTGTTGTTTGTTTCTCTTGCTGTTGTTGTCATTGTTGTTGCATTGTTTGAGTTGTGATTTTTAATGGTGCTGATTCGCTGCTCCCGCTCCGCCTCCCGCTCGCATCGCATCCTCCGTCCTGTCAGGCTGTCAATGTCAAAATGTGTCCCGATTGGGCTTTAGAGCAGGTAACATTTTCGGCGCCAACAGGAGCAGGTGCAGTGCACGTGGCGATAGTAGCGACACAGGCACTTCAGATACTTATAGCCCGCACAGCAGTGGTGCGAGTGCGAATGGGTATGGTAATGGCTGTAGCAGGACGTCGTGTCGTGCAAGCAGTACGAGTAGCAGCCGCAGTCGCACATCTTGCCAGGATCTCAATGCTCGTCTCTAATTGTCAATTGCAGAGCTTATATTTGAATTTCCTTTTCCTGTTCCTGTTCCTGTTCCTGTTCCGCTTCCTCTTCCTCTTACTCTTCTTCTGTTCTGCGTCGTGTGCTCCTTTCCCGATTCCCAGTTGCAATCCAGTTGTCGTCCTAGCTCGCTGCTGCCTTTGGCTGAACTGATTTCTGGCCATCGCTTCGTCTTTCAACTTGGCTTAGGTTAGTGGCGGCTCTTGTCCTCGACTGTTGCCCCGGCCAACCCAACAGCTGTTTGATCGATGCATTTGTTTTGCGTATTCGTACCACGCCCCAAATATCAGCCAGTGGCTTGTATCGTTGTTGCTGCTGTTGTTGCCATTATAGAAATCATGTCAATTGATTTTGGGGCCAAACTTCAACTGTGCGGTTTATTTCGCCTTCGCCTGGCACAGCGGCACACTCGAGCTATATGATTAATTCACAATGCTGTCGCCGATTTTTACGACCGGCGCAAAAAAAGAAAAATATTATAATTTGTATCTGCCGACTGGCCAAAAATAGAAGCCGCCGTCGCCGTCGCCATCGCCATCGTCGTCGCTAGGCAAACGCAAATTCATGCCTGACCCACATTCGGTGCACATTTGATTCTATTAGTCACACAGCTGCCGCCAAAAACAGATGAACGTAGGCTATATGTAGCTCACACACACACACACACACAGAGGACAGACGCGCGGCGCTATAGATGCAGCTGGGATCGTGATGCAATCGCCGATTGGCAGAGACAGGGACAGATACAGCAATCGATGACACATGCAATGACGCGACATTCGCACGCGCCAGATGCAAGTTCCGAGCCGTTGACGTCATTCATTTGTAAGCAGCAGGTAATACGCTGCGTATACGTCATTTCATAGGCAGCAGCCAGAGCTGGCTGACATCAGAAGCCACCGCAGCACTGCGCCTATTAATAAATGCAACGATTGCGAATGAGATCTACTTGCCCAGCCCTACGGAGTGAGCTCATGGAATCGATCAATGGCCAACGAGCAACGATCAACGATCAACGATCAACGATCAACAGCGGATGTTACGCTTATGAAATTGCTAATTGCAACTATAAATATGTAAATATATAGAAAGACCTGTGAGAATCATCGCAGTGTGCATAGCCAAAAATGTTTGCCTGCTCTCAGTCAAAGATCTTGCATTGATCTTGGCTGCCAATGCGCTCACAGCTCTTGTTGCTGCATGCACAGTTATATACACCCATAAATATATACTTTCGAGCTGCTAATTGCATTGATCAACAAAAATACGGTATGTCATAATGCCATCATATAGTAAATATGAACTATTTGCCTCTGATCTGTCATGCATTCAATTGAACAAGCTTAGAGACTACTGCTGAAATGAGATCAGCTCTATAGTTTCTCTTCTGCAGCTGGCAAAGGCCAATAACTAAAACCTAGTAACTAGTTATTTATGCACATTATAGATCATGTTTTATTATAACTCACAGTGAAAGGGTGAAATGAGTCCAGATCACTTTTCGTTTCCTTCCTTTCACGATCTCCTGAGAGCCCTTTCGAGTGCTTAACCCTCACTCTCACTGATCTTAATTTGATCAATATTTATAAAAGTCAAGTTAAAGAGTTTTTTAATTAATTTTTGGCAGAGTGTAGCAAAATTTCTCTCTCTTTCTGTATCACTTTATCTTTATCGCTCCCTCTCTCTTATTGCTTCTCTCTCTGGCTCTGCCAATTACAGCAGGTGTTTGACAGCGGAATTTGCAATCATTTACAATTACAAATTCTTCAGCTTATCTCTTAATGAGGGGGGGGAAGCTTCTCCTCTTTGTAATGAGTTTTTTATTAAGCTAATTTGCTGGACAGTTGCAGTAGGTGCGTGTTGCTTATCGGCCCGCTGTGGCATTATAGCCGTGTTGCAAACTCATTAAAGTCAACTCCTGCGATTCGAGGACACGTAATGTCAGCTTTAAGGCCATGGGCATGCACATATATAGAAGTCTGTTTTTTTTTTTTTTTTGTATTGCCGTTAGGGACATGGGCAGGTCACAGAGTGAAGTGTCCTTGTGCGCTTAAAAGTCTTTCGACACGTATTCGCATTGGCAAAAGTTTGCCAGAGCCCGAACCAAAGCTAAAATGAAGAGTGAACTGTTGAGGTTGAGGTTGAGCTCGAGCTTGAGGTTGAGGTTGAGGTTGAGGTTGGGCTGCAGGTGAAGTGGCAGCCAAAACTGTGGAGGGGGTCGCAGTATGTGGAGTGCAAGTGCATGGCTTTCAGCCGTTTAGTTCAAGTTGTTTCAAGTAACACTTGAAGGACAACGGGGCGACCAAAACGACTCGACCATATGCACTAGAAATTCGGGCTAGGACTGGGCTAGCTGGGGCCATACGGACGTGGACAGGACGGAAGTGCCGGCTGTCAGTATGTGGCAAATAATGGTGTTGCGTGTCGTTTTGGCCACCGCAATGATAACCAACTAAATTTGCAACAAGAGCAACAATAACGACGCAGAGAGGAAAGCAGAGAAAAAAAAACCAGGAGAGGAGGAAAGAAAAAACAACAAGAGGCAGAAGCAGAAGGAGAAATAGAAGCAGCAGCAGTGGAAAGAAACTTCCTCCATGCGGACGTTACGACGTTCTCGACTGCGAGCTGGCGACCTCGTGAAAAGCGTAACTGACACTTAAATTAAATTTGTTTTCATTTTGGCCCGACAGAAAGTCAACGCGACACATTTTGGGTTTGGGGGCCAAGAAATCAGCGCAAAACACAAAACACAAAACACAAAAACCGAAAATGCATTTCGCAATAAAATAAATTAAAACGAAAGCCAAGCAAATTTTCTGCACTGAAAGTTGCCCAAAACTCAACGGGGCGTGCGATGGGAACTGCCAAACATGCCGGCGAGGGGGGGCGCTGCTGCGAGTGGCTCGCGGCGACGGGGGAAGCAATGTGGGAGGAGGGGCGTAGCCCACTGATGACTTGGTTTAGCCCCAAACAGCCAAAGTGAAAAGACTAACTGAAACAGCTTGTGACGCCGTGTGCTGTTTGCAGTTTGTTGTGAATGTGAACGCAGACGCCCCCTGGCGGACAGAATTGTCGCCACACACACACACACTCAGTGTTGGTTTGGTTTTCGATAATACCATGCCTAGAGCGACATTTGTTGAATTCGCAGATGCTTCGGGGACTCGCAGAGCATTTGTAGCTTTAATTTGATTAGCACTCGATATGCAGTTAGTTTGAGCTGAGGAAAATTGAAGCAGCTCGCATTCAAGCTCAACTAAATTGATGCATTTACCGATTAAAGCCATATCGATATACATAGAAAAGTGCAGTTTAGGGGATTTGTGCAGCAGGGAACAAACTCAGAAGTCGATGGAGCAACTTTTACTCAGCTATTACCAGCTATACAGAAGTTAACATGCTAGAGAAGCTATCGATAAATACTATGAAGGACTCAGGGAACAGATTAATGCAGATATCAACTAAGAGCTGTGGGCTTTAAGTATTTCCAATTAAGTTCTCGTAAAATTCAACCATTGAGATAAATCGATAAGCTATTGATAGGTGTATTACCAAAAATGGTTATACTTCGCCATACTTCACTGTTATTTGAAAATGTTTGTGGTAAAGGAAAACTGTTGTTCTTTGCCGAGCTACGGTCCAGATATATACATATATATGGATGGAGCAATTACTGTTGCTGCTTGGCTTGGGGATGCACCACTCAATGCTTCAAAACGTCAACAAAGCTGTCGGCCAACGGAGTCAGAAGCCAACTACAGCCGTAGCATCACAGAGCATTTACCCAGTGCCTTCTCTCCTCTCCCTCTCCTCTCGGCTACTCTGCCATGGTCTGCTCGTGTCCATGTCCATCCGTGTTCCGTTGGCATATTGTGTTCATGCCAAAGCGATTGCCTGCCGCATTTAGCTGTGGATTGCTTGGGCTGGGTCGGGCTTGTGTGGGTCGGGGGGCTACGGTGGGGTGGTGTTGCCATGGTCATGTCGGATTTTCCATCGTTTGTTTCGCACAAAATTCCTGCTTCCTCTCGCATTTATTGTCGGTTGATGTGTTTTTATTTTGCGAGTTTTTGATGTGTATGTAGCGATGGAATGCCACTGGTGGAGGGGCCGGGGCTAGGTGTCAGGGAAGCAACCAAAGCCGCAGCCAAACAAACACATTTCAATCAAAACGCTTGACGGGTTGACGGCGGGAAGCAGCAGCAAGTGCAACAGCAGCAGCCACGTGGGTGGCCACGTTTTCCCCACCGACCACGACAAAGTTCAGGTGGGGAGCGGCGCGAGGACGTGGACTACGGACTACGGACTACGAACTACGGCAACTGTGAACTGGAAACTGCGCGTCCGTCCGTCCACCTATTTGCACTGCAATGCGGTTCGCTTAAGGCATTGCACTCTGATTCCAAACAACGCAAGATGGGCATAGAAAATATAAACATATTCTATATATGGCATATGCGCTCTACAGCCCTTGCAGGTAATCCAGATGATGAAGCTATCAATTTTTACTTGGCTAATTCTGTTTTATAAAGATATTCTAATAAGTTCAGTGATAATCTGAGAATTATGAGTAAGATGTGAGATTCGTTATAGATCGTCAATGAGAGAGAGAGAAAGAGAGAGAGAGATACTGATTCTGAGTACTTTTATATGTATTTCTGTCAGACAGATTTTCTTGTACATCCATAATTAAGTTGTGATAGAACCAATGTGCGTTGGCTGTAACTGTTACTGCCGCAGCTGTTGCTGTTGTTGCTGCTGTTGTTGTTACTGCTGTTGCTGTTGCTGCTGTTGTTGTTGCTGCTGTTGTTGTTAATGTTAACCATGGTCATTGCCACAACTACCGCAAAATGGCACTTGGTTGGTTTTTGACACAAGTTGACGCGCATGCAGCGAGAGCTGCGACTGGCATTGTCAGTGTGGCACATGCCGCATGCCGCATGCCTCATGCCGCATGCCACATGCCGGCACAAAATGTCGTGTGCATTAGGTATGGAGTTTGAGCTAAAGCTACAGTTTCAGCTGCTGTCCACGCGCCATCGCCCAACTGATTCTGGCCAAACAAAATGAAGACATGAGCTCGCCAAATACCGAATACCGAATACCAAATGGCAAACAGCAAATAGCAAATGTTGCACGTTGCACCAATCCTTGCTTGCTGCCGCTAGTGGAGTTGGCAACTGTTGTCCTCAATGACACTCAGAGCAGAAAGCAAGAGAAATGCATAGCAGGACTGACATCTGAAGTGGACACAAAGCGGTCGAAACTATTTGAAAC